CCTGCCCAAAATTAGCCCTGCACTTGCCCTTTAAAACTTCCCACATTCATTCCACATAGTTTGGTCAAAGAATTCAGGTGACCTGAACTGCTTCTGCCCAGAGACAAGTCTCTTCTGATGTTGAAGCCTACGGACAGGCATTTGCAGGGGCAATGGGGCATCCACACAGCAGGTTCTCCAGCTCTTGCCTTGCCTCAACACCCCCAACTGCTGTTATTCCCTCTTCTAACCAGAGGCCTTTTTTAAAAAATCCGTAACTGATTGATCACTATAGCGCAGTAGCATTATAATGATCTATTGCAACAATATACTAACTCCCAGCATTCCTTTTTTTTAGAAAGCTTCTAGCCCTTTTCCTTGCAAAGATATGAATAAATATGCAGTCTGCACTTTCCCCCTTATAACACCACAATGACTTTTCCAAAAGCCAGAAACCAGTATATTGTTACAATAAAATTTTATTACCTTTATTGCACTATAAAAAGGTAAAGGTAAAGGTTCCCTTGCTCGAAAGCCGGTTGAGTCCGACTCTAGGGTTGCAGTGCTCATCTCCGTTTCAAAGCCGAAGAGCCAGCGCTGTCCGAAGACGTTTCCGTGGTCATGTGGCCAGCATGACTAGACGCCGAGGCGCACGGAACGCTGTTCCCTTCCCACCAAAGTGGTACCTATTTATCTACTGTAGCGATTTGTTAATGAACAATTTTAAAAGCCGGGGGGGGATTTCTCTGGTGTGTTTTGAGGGAATGGCAGCAGGGGAGGGGGGCTGAGGGAGAAGAATGGCACCAGTATGAGCAGGACCTGTTAAAAAATGCATACCATCCTGTTCACACATCATCCAAAAGCAGTTTGGCTGTGATTTTATCAAAAAGGTTGTACCAAACTAGGTCTGGGAAGATCACATCAAAGTGACAAAAAGCCCCAAAACAAGACAAACGAAGGAAGCTCTGGAAAAAGCACTTCAAAGAGGAAGCAAAGGTGGAGCAGCTAAACATCTGTATGAAAACAGCCATTTCTGGCAAACCATTGCATTCCAGTGTTTTTCTTTATATCCTCGCACCTTTTGTTTAGATCTGATTTGTGGTGTGGCTGTTCCTTTTAATGTAAAACATAACACCAGCCTGTGCAGACTGGACTGGCAAGGTGCAAATAAGGTTTCTCAAGGTTACTGAATCTTTGCATTCCTCCTCTCAGTTTAATTAATCACTTCCTGTTTTCTTGCAACATTCATCAATCAACCCCAATTGAATGAGGTCTTGTTTGGGAAGGGGGGTGACTGGGGCTCTAGTATGGCTGTCACTTTGTAGGCAGCCAAAGCCACTGCTCATTTTTTTTTAAAATGTTATGGTTATTTAGTAATCCTGCTACTGTATATCATAATAAAATGATGAGCAGTGGTTTTAGCTCAAAGCAGACCTCAAACCAACCTCTTACATCCCCAAGGGAACAAAAGCAGATAACTGATAATTAATAATTGATTCTTGAGCGTCCCAAGAGAACTGGCCCACCATAAGTGAAATAGGCTGAAAACAAAGGGGGGGAAAGGAGTTGCCGAGAGAGACTCACTGGACCTTTGCCAAGGGAGACCTACTTCCTAGTGCTGCTAGTCTATGACTGTAATTAGGCACAACGACGACTTGCTTCCTTGTAGACATGTAGTAGGATCTTACCCATAGGATTTTAAGAACCATGGGGAGCCCTAGTTGCAATTCTGCTTGCAGCTGACTGCAGAATAATAGCCTTCAGCAACCCAAAACAATAGCCTTTCCCCAGAGGTCATTTCGGGGGGGAATCGCGGGGGATCGCAGTTCCCCTGGGTGAGGTACGGGGGCGGGGCACATGACGAAGCCCCGCCCCCCGCTTCCGGCCGCCCCGCTTCCGGCCCTCATTCAGCCACAAGGACGCAGGAGAAGAGGGAGGGTAAGTTGCTTCCTCCCTGCCTCTCCCCACCCCTGCCTGCCTGGGGCCAGGGAGGGCCTTCGCAGGGCTTCCTTGCACTCCCGCCGGCTTTGCAGGTCCACTGCCGGGCCCCTCATGGGGCTCGGCAGTGGAGCTGCAAGGCCGGCGGCGGCGGCCGGGACCATGTGTGGCCTTATGACACACTTCCGGTGATGTCAGGGGGTGTGGCATATGCTAATGAGTTATGCGAATGAGTTCCCCTAGCTCTTTTTCTATGAAACGACCCCTGCCTTTCCCACATTTTTGTTCCTGTTGCTTCGGAAGGGTTTCCGTCCCATACATGTTTTGTACTCTCTAGTGGTTGATTTCTCACATCACTTTATGTCCAGCATATCTCCCTGCCAGTTTTTTATGCCGTACGTAAATCAATGTAATATCAATTTGACCGCTAGAGGGCGCAAAACAAACGCAGAACAGAAAACACACAAGTGAGGAAACTGGAAATGTGGAACTTCAGTCCAACTTCATCCAAGGAAGTAACACCTTATGAGAAAGACTGAGGTGTGTACCCTCCAAACTTTCACAAAGGAAATCAGGTATATTCTTGTGCACTTACGACAATTCCATTCCAGGTGCCGATGCCTGGGCCCCTCTCCCTCCACCCCCTATTATTACTCATTCCTGGTACTTTTCAGCCTGCTCTGTTGTCATTTTGCCTGTCCTGCGGTCAAAGTGGGTGTTTACTCTTTGACTAGAAATGCCCCTATAACATGTTCTCCAAAGGGAACCTCTGCAGCTGTGGCATGTGGAATAGTGCACATACACACTAGGGGCAACCCCCCTGCTCCCCCATACTTATCATCAGTGCTCCCTCTAAGCTGAGTTAGTGTGAGCTAGCTCACAGTTTTTAAGCCTCCAGCTCACACATTTCTGTCCTAGCTCAGGAAGGATGGCTCCAAAGCAAACTGATTTATGCAGCAGCCAAATCGCTCGCTCACAACTTCAATTCCAGCAGCTCACAAAGTTGAAGTTTTGCTCACAAGGCTCCACAGCTTAGAGGGAGCATTGCTTACCATGCCATCCTAAGGAACATAACACTCTTCCTAAGTCTGTTGAAATCGATGCACACACAAAACCCCTCCAACACCTCCCCCCCAAGCTGCATCAATATGTGCATGCGCAATTCTGGAATCAGTTTTTTTAATTCCCCTAGTTAAGATTAAGGAGAATATAGTACAGAGCAAAATTCTGGAACCAGAGAAGGAACAGAATGGGATGCTTTAAACCGGGGGTCCCTAATCTTGCTGTGCTTGTGGGCACATTTGGAATTTCGGAAATGGGGAGTGGGCACCACTCTGTAAAGACTGAAAACCATGGGGCTCATATCTCCTCAACCGGAAGGCATGGCGGTTGCTGATGCATTTGACATCTAGCCAAAACTTCAGGAATCTGAATTTGGAACTCTAGGGTCATTTCTGCACTAGACCTTAAATCCTTAAATCCTGGTCCCTGAACTTACATTCTACTCTACACGCGAGTTCACCCCTGTAATTATCTCGGAGAATTTTTACATTTATTTATTTGTTTGTTTGTTTATTATTTTAGATTTATATCCCGCCTTGCCTGCGCATGCTACATTCTACATGTACATCCCACCTTGCCTGTACATTCTACACTACACTCGAGTTCACCCCTGTAATTATCGTGGGGTATTTTTTTGTTTCCACACTTGTCCCGGGATAAACGGATGCTGTTGTAACCAGGGATAAATGCAAGGTATTGCGTCGCGACTTGAACTCTGATAAAACCAGGGATGAGATCCAAGTGCGGAAAGGACCCAGATCTTTGAAAGATTTTCAAATTCTGCATTTGAGATAAATAACACGGTACAACCCTGGAGGGTGAATACGGATTTGGGGCCAAACATCTGGGGATAACGACCATGACTTAGGGGCAGCTCCTACCTTCCCTTCTTCCCGCTGCCTCCTCTTCTTCTCCTCTTCCATCGGGGATTGCTTCAGACTGTGGGGAGTCTTGCTGTCTGACTCCGAGGGGAACCTTCCTGTGGGCAGAGAAGGCAAGGCAGGAAGCCTTGTGGGCGAACCGGGAGCAAAGATGGGCGAACCGGGCACAAAGGAGCTGTCGGCAACGGCCGAAGCTGCTGAACGAGAAAAATATATTTTGTGCATGTTTAAGAAGAGGTGTGGCACAGCCTTATTATCCCTGTCACGCAGACAAAGTGGCACTGGGGCTTGCAAACAGCTACTTAGCTCCTAGCAAAGGCAAGATTTGAACCGGGTTCCTAGCTCACGGTTCATAACTCGGGTCTCTACACCATTCCGCAGTACTTTGCTGTTTTCAAATCACCTCTAAGGACTCGACCATTACTGTTTCATCTTGCCGTTTCTCTGAGGAGCTCAAAGTAATGTAGGTGGTTCATGATGAGGGAGCGACTACCCAGTGAGCATCGTGACTGAGAGTTGAACCCGGGTCTGCCCAGCCATGGTCCAACCGGGATGATCCATGGGGAGGAGGTGGGTAAACAACACGCAGTGGGGTTGGTAAATTCCTGGAGATTTGGGGGTGGGTCCTTGGGAGGGCGGGGCTTGGGGAGGGACCTCAGCAGGGTATAATGCCACGGAGTCCACCTTCCAAAGTAGCCGTCTTCTCCAGGCAAACTCATCCCTTGTAGCCTGCAGGTAACTGAAATCCCAGGAGATCTCCAGGCTCCACCAGGAGACTGGCAACCCCGCCCACCAGCCCTCCCCCGTGCCTAGCTAGGCCCTTACGTGCGTCATTCTTTGTTTTCAAAAATCCACCTGCTCCCCCTATCAGACGTGTAAGAAGAGAGAGAGAGGAGGAGATTGGATGTATACCCCGCCCTTCACCACCCAAAGGAGTCTCAGAGCGGCTTACAAACTCCTTCCCCTCCCCACAACAGACACCCTGTGAGGTAGGCGGGGCTGAGAGTGAAGAAGAAGAAGAGATTGGATGTATACCCCGCCCTTCACCACCCAAAGGAGTCTCAGAGCGGCTTACAAACTCCTTTCCCTTCCCCTCCCCACAACAGACACCCTGTGAGGTAGGTGTGGCTGAGAGAGCTCTTGACAGAAACTGCTCTTTTTCAAGGACAGCTGTGCCCGGAACTATGCCTTGCCCAAGGTCATCCAGCAGGTACAAGTGGGGAATGAGGTGTGTGTGGGTGGGTGGGTGTGTGAGGAATCTCCTGCACGCCATATTGGCCGGGTAGCATTCCTCAAATTTTGGTGGCTGGCCGGGTAGCATTCCTCAAATTTTGGTGAAACCCCTTCCTGGCAGAAAAGAGGTATTGTGGATATTGTACACGGTACAATGGAACAGTCAGTTTCCCTCCTTCCGATATCTGTGTGCATTGGTTTAGGTTCATAGGGTGGAGTCCCTGCTCAGTTATTTCTGCCGGTTGGTTAGAACTGTAGACTGCCTGAGCTCCCTTGTCCTGACACCAGTTGCCCCCGTCCTTGTATCGCTTTGCTAATCGATTGATGCCATGATTTGAAACATGCCTGTCTCTGCTGCGAGAGCCGGACAGCAGGAACCCGAGTGAGCGCCCTCTTCTTGACTTGTAAGCAAAACGGAACATCGTAAGTGTGTGATGTGCTACCAGGCAACCGATGGTAGCCTCTGAACATGTACAGAGTACTCCACCCTGCAGCTTTCCTTCTCTTAGACTTAAGGAGCAAGGCAGGCGTCAGGGATCCCATGCCTAGCCACCTCTTTCTGGAAATTAATTCCTGCCCCTTCCCCATCTGTGACAGCATTCAGAGGCGATAGGGTTGCCAACTTTGGGTCCGGAAATACCTGGAGATTTAAGGGTGGCACCTGGCTGAGTGTGGTTTGAGGACGGGAGGGACCTCTGTTGGGCATAATGCCACGCAGCCCACCTTCCAAGGTAGCCACTTCCTCCAGGGTAAGCGGAACAAATGTTTTATATAAATAAGTAATAACTAAAACGAGTGATTTATACAGTTTGGGGATCGACAGAGAGTCCAGAAGATCTCCACCCCCCCACCTGGAGGTTGGCAACCATATTCAGAGGAAAAAACCCCCCCCCCATTAAAACAAATTAAACTTCCAGCTTTGGAACCTTCGCCTTTCGCTCCTTGTTCCAGCCACTGGCACAGCCTCTTACCTGAGCTCGGAGACTGTAGGCAAGAGCAGAAGCTCTTCTCCTTGCCCTCCTCCACACCTCCGCTCCCGTCCAGCCTCCCTTTCCTCCGTTGCTCCTGCAGCTCCCCTTCTCTTTGCAGAGCTTCCTGGATCTCCTGGTCAATCAAGAGTGACATTCGGGGCTTCCCCATCTTCAGAGTATACAGCTCTTCCCGTGGAGCTGCCCACTGGGGCCTCCGTTCCGTTCTCCTGGCACGTGGGTCATCCGGGGAAGTCCTCCGCATCAGAACCCCAAAATGTTCCTTCTGCAGCACCAGTTGCGCATCTGGGCCTGCGGTCTCCTTCATGCTTGAGAGTTTGGGCCCAGGAGTATCTCCCCGCCTGCTTTGACTGGGTTCCTCCCCCAGCCTGGTGCGCAACGCAGAACATGACTGGGCGGCCGCAGAGCTTTGGTTCATGTCCTGGCGAACAATCCTTTCCCTGTCATTGGCTATGTGGGGATGGGCAAAGGACTCTGGAGCGGACTTCTGCACCTCTCCCAGGTTCTCCGGTTTGTGTGCAGAAGGCAGCTGGGTCCCCTCTTGCTCAAAGACTTTCCTGCGTTCCCCGAGCTCTTGCGGCATCCCCTTGTCATACGCTCCGGGCAGCCTCCCTTCCTTTTGGAGGACCTCCTCACGTTTGGTTTCCTGCTCTATCTCCCTCTGGACATAAAAGGAAACGCGAGCGTGATCCTTCTTTTTCCTGGAGGATGTCGAGGCAGAGAGGGGGGACGAGAGGAGAGGCTTGGATCGGATCTCGACCAGCTCGTCCCTGCTGTTCCCTTTCGGAATCCCTCTCTCCCGCCAAAGGTTCTCTTCCCTCTCCATGGACAGGCGGATTTCCCGTTCAATGGGGGTCTCGTCCCTGGCCTCCAGCTCTTTGGCAGGATCTTGGTCCCCGGCCAATTCCGGAGCGTTCCCAGATTTCATACGGGGTAGTCTTCCATTATGAACCTCAGTCCTTAAATCACCGCCTGTTTCCCCCAAATCCAGATTTTCTCCAGAAAAGTCTTGATAGATTGCAGCTCTTTCCTCAGAACCAGGTCTTCTCCTTTGGGGAATACCTAAAGCGGCCTTCTCACTAGAAAGGCCCGATTCTCTCTGGTTAGACCCATCAGGATCTCCATCGTCCTTCAGGACGGCAGGGTGGCCCTGACGCTCTCTTTCATAAATTTTTGGGGCCGCCAGCAGCCTCGGAGACATAACCTGCTTCCTTGGTCCCAAGAGCAAGTTTGGATTACTCTTCTCCAGGGCCAGGAACTGCTGCCGGGCTGCAGCGAAATTGATCTGCTCCGTATCTATGTTTTCGGGGTCAATCACTGTCTTCACCCATCCTGGGGGAGGTTTGTCAAAACACACTGCAAAACCCACGGAATCGCTTCTTTTGGTCTCGGCCTTTTCTCCACTGGGCAAGGCCGGGCTTGGAGGTCCCCGCTCGTCCACGGAGGTCACCTTTTCTGCTATTGTGGTGCTCTTCTTCATTGCTTGACTTTTGATAATCTCCTGCCTTTCTTCTTCCAGCTCTTTGGCTTTCTCGGGCGAGAGGTTCTCGGGAGGCAGTTCATAATACACCTCTCCCTCGTCCTCCTCGTAAAGTCGGGAAGGCTTCTTCTCCCCTTTATAAGCCCGAATGTCGTACAGCGGTCCTGTCTTCACCACCTCCAACTTGGATTCTCTGTCCACGGATGGCGTCCAGAGGTCTCTTCTTCCGTTTATGGCCTTTGTTGTCGATTTAAGTCCGCCTTCTGAGGAATTGATTGTTTTCTGCTGGTTTCCTGTCTCCTGACGATAGTTGCCAAAGTCAAGATACTCGTCACCTGTGACTTCCGTCTCCTGTTCTCTCAGTGTGACCGCTCTGTCTCCATTCCGCTCTTCGTATTTGGGGTCCACGTTCTGTGAGACATGACAAATCCCACTGCTGGCGTCTGGGTCCATTTCTGGAGTGGAGTTCTCTTGTACTTTTTCTTTGGTTCTTTCAAGATTTGTGTCCGTTGCAGGGGCTCCTTGCTGTGTCTGGAAAACAAGGAAATGAAAACAAACATGTTAGAAGTGGCACCAAGTTCTACGTCAGCTCCCTTTTGAATTTTTTTGCCATTCTGGGAATTCTAGATATTCTAACTGTCCCTCGTTACCAGTGACCAACCCTGTGTCCTGGTCCCTGTTCCTGGAGAAACTATCCCCATTCTGGAGTAATGCACAAACAAATGGCTGGTTTGCCTGTCGTCAGAGCTTGGGAAAGAGAGCTGGCAAGGCCAAAACAATGTGGTGATCGACACTCTCGTATAAGCGTGTGTTTAGTTTTGATGGCCTCTCCCAAATTCAGCACCTGGCTGAGGATTGAACGCATCTCATGCACGTGCAGGAATGACACATTCATGGACACAAAGTCTGCTTTCTTTGCCGGCTGCCTCAGAACCACCTGTTTATAAATTTTTTATGGCCATTAATAAACACAATATGCAAAGTCTCAGAAATGAATGGAATAAGGAACTAGATCATCCTTGTTTGCCAAAGGAATGGCATATGGCCCAAAATCTTATACCTGTTCTTTCCGTGAACCTCAAGTTGTGACTTGTTCAACCAGAAAATTATGTTTAGGATATACTGGACACACCAGAGTAAGTAAAGTGTCTAGTTCTTGGCATTGGGACTTTCAGGACACGTCTCTTAAATGCTAATGATGTTTTAGTAAAGGACTAAGTAAAGTGTCTAGTTCTTGGCACTGGGACTTTCAGGACACGTCTCTTAAATGCATACTTTGGGCTTGTCTAGTTATTCAGTCTCTTTGGGAAGAAGAATAGTAGGCACGGGATAGAGCAGGTAGAGAAAGAAGTCCTTTTCTCCCTTTCTCACAATACAAGAACTCGTGGGCACTCCATGAAATTGCTGAGCAGTCAGGTTAGAATGGATAAAAGGAAGTACTTCTTCACCGAAAGGGTGCATTCAGATGCGGCGTTTGCAATGGTATAGGTGCCGGTTGCAATCGGTGTACTTACCGGCATTCACACGTAGAACATCTGCCTTCCGTCCCTAACCGTTGCAAAGCCCTTTAAACCGTTGTACTCTGCCACTAGGTCCCCAAGTGATGGTATCCTGAGTACAACGGTTGTAATCGCTGTACCTGCCGTCTGATCGCTCTCCACCGTTGAGAAACAACTTCCGTTCGGAAGCCTGAGGCTTCCGATTTTCGCCCGCCATTTTTTTTAAAGGTCGGCA